TCACTTTCTAGCAAACTTCGCCTCAAATTAATTTTGCAACTCCAACTTCTGCCGGCTCTCGGATGCTCGCTCTCTCGACTCGATCCGATCGGCGTCGAGCATCGACGTTGCCGTCGAATGTCGGAGGCATCGCGCGGCTACAATCGCGAAGCTTCTCGTATTCGCCACGGCGCTGTCATCGCGAATCAAAATGGAATCGCGAGACACCAACGCGTAGTTCGTGCGTTGTTTGTTCGTCGTTCGTTCGTCGTTGGTTCGTCGCTCGTGCTTCTCTTACCGGCCATGGACTCCGTATTTTATCGACGAGTCGCGCCGTTCCTTTTCATTCCCCATTCTCGCCGCGGTTGCACCCTGTCTCGTACCTCTCTCACCGTCCCGTTCCCTCCGTCTCTTCCGCCGAAACGCGCAGCGACGCTTATTTCCGATTTCTTCGAATGGGCGGTGCGCGTCGCGCCGCCACCCTGTAATACGATTTCACGAGCCAACTCTTAAATTCAAATCACCGCGCGACAGATTTTTTCAACCGTGCCGCCACGTGAAAATGAATTTACTCCCACGCGGAAACAACCACGCGCGGACGAATGGGGGACGCGGATGGGAACAAAGAGGAGGCGGCACGAGAGGAACTTCCGGTAAGTTCCTTTTGGTTCAGATCCGATTTTCTCGCGCTACTTTTTCCACCTGTCTCTCCTTCTTTCCCTCTCTCTCTCCACACTTTCTCTCCCTTCTCTCCAGTTTGCGTTTCGCCGCTGGTAAAAATTCTCCGTCGAACGTAACCCTTTGAAATTAGATTGCACGGTATCAGCCCACCCTCTTACCCACGCCCCTCTGTTTCTCTCTCTTCTCTCTCACCCTCTTTCCGTTCTTTTTTCTACTTTCCCCGCTTTTTCCAATTCCACGCGTCTCGCCACCCTGTCGCGCTTTCTCCCGTGATTTCGCCGGACGTCCGGTTAGCGGCATTCACCGCGCAGAAAATCGTCATCGAGGCCTGACGCCTCGAACCAACGCAATTTCGCTCTTGGACGGTTTCAGACGCTTCCGCGAAAAGAAACGTTAATTACTTTTGCAATGGCCGAACCGCGTCACCGCGATCCCGAGTTCTCCTCTACTCTCGTTTCGAGCCACGCCACGGTCCACTTGGAACGTTGGCGAACATCGAGCGCTCCGCTAGGCTCCGTATTCCGGCGTGATTAACGTGCTCCCTTGCGATTAACAATTGTCGAACATTTGCATGGAACGGTACTTACGAACTCTTGGTTCGTTAGTCTCGTACCGCCATTCCTCTTCGCTGCAGACAACCCGTTCTCCGTTTCCCTCTTCCTCCGCGTTACACCCCGTTTTGTCTCTCGTTAACAGCGTCACATAAACACGCCTGCCGTGAAAAGAAGTATGTTCCTCTTAGCCGGAGACTCTTCTAGGAGGCCAATCGTTCGTGATACGCATTTCGACCGATTTTCGTGGACGGTGACACCACTTCGCGAATTTTTCTCCCCTTTCGACCCGCGTCGCGTCTTTCTCGCGAGGGTGCATGAGCTCCGGGATGAAAGCGAGTTCGGTGCCCGCACTGCGACGTGCTTTTCGTCGTTTCGCGACGACACGGGCTATTAAATGTTTCGGATATGCGGGTGGAGGCGTAATGGAGAACGCATGGCGCGCAAATCGTCGATCAGATTTTAACGAGGCGCACCGCGGGGACAGAAATTGCAACGGTGATGAGCAGTGGTCGGCGTGCGGTGCGGCGATTTCGATATCGTCGCTCGTGCGCAAGAAGACCCGATAAATATCGGACGAAAAGTGATCGAAGCGACGTTTCGTGCCTCGGGAACAGGACGGGGAGACGCGAAGGCGAAACAGGCATGTCACGTGTGTGTACTATGCGTGGCTGAAAAGAAGTCATCTTGCTCGGTTGCAGGGCAACAGGCGTATTCCACTTGTTCTGCCTACACTCTCGCTGGTAATACCCACTCTTCTATGCCATTTCCAAAACTATTACCTCCAAGTTCGGTAACGTGATACGTTAACATAGGCGTAAGATATCCGCGAAATAAATGTCACCTCGGAGTTAACTTACAATGAATTGGAAGCACCACTACGCTTTGGGATGAGTCTACGCTCTTGCATCTATTTTTTGCGTCTGTCTCACTTTGTATCGTTGCTTCGTTCGCTTTCTTTGTCACATGGTGTTCTATGACCGGGCTAATAGGAAGGGATCAGTTCTACCAATAAGGGAAGCGTTTTACTATACTTCTGTCATTATGGTAGAATGGTTGGGATGGTGGGGATTCGGTCCTACAAGTTTCTCAGGTGACTTCTTTCATGCAACGCAGAGTACTGCGCGTGGCTGACAAGAAGTTATCTTGTTCGGTTGCAGGGCAACAGGGGTATTCCACTTCTTCCGCCTATACTCTTGCTGGTAATACCCATTCTTCTATGTCATTGCCAAAACTACTATCTCCAAGTTCGGTAACGTGATACGTTAACATAGGCGTAAGGTATCCGCGAAAGAAATGTTACCTCGGAGTTAACTTGCAATGAATTGCAAATGATTGGAAAGGATTTTGTACAAGTTTCTCGGATGACTTCTTTTGGGTGATGACTTCTTTTCAGAGTAGATGACGTCTCGTGGCCGGTAACTATAGTCACCCGTGATAGCGAAAGGGTTAAACCGGGATCGGTAAATCGGTAGAACGCTGCGTTCGAATGATCCCCGGGTTCGAGGCACGATTTACTCGACTCCCAGTGCCGTGAAATTTCTTCTACCGAACGGTTTCTCCCGTTTCGGCTTATCTTTCGCGTCTCCTTGCTGTAAGAAAGCTTAAACCGGAAAAGCAGCGTTGCTGGTAGAGTGCTTTCCAAGCGCCGGCCAATGCATGCTGATAAACCTGCCGGACCAATTTAAATCCCAAGATGGCGGCTGCGGCCTTCAGCCTTTCGCCCTTCTTTCCGTTCTCCTCCTCGTTATCCCTCTCTTTTCCCCGTTTCTTTCCGCCTGGTTTCCAGGGATCTATCGCGTCGAACGATTTATTAACCCATTTCGCCGGCAGACATCTCTAGTTTTGCGAATTTCCAAGGAAAATCGATGCCCTCCCGGCTAGCTTCGATCTCCGCGCAGCTTCCTTTCGCCTCTCACCGACAGCCAATGGAATTCCCGCATTCGCGCTATTATAATTTTCCCAAAGAACCCACGATCGAATTCGTACGTGTTTCGCGAAAAGTCTCCGAACACGTGCGTTCGAACCATCGCGAAATTCCGAATATTCGAATTTCTCATCCAACCATGGAGTATCTCCCACTGTTCCCCAATACTCAGATTTCTCCACGAATCGTTATACGTTCCTCTTCGTGCCGTGAACCGAGGAATTTATTTGCTCTCCGAATCGCCCAAAAAATTCGCCGAATGTATTTCTCCCAAAATTCAAATTCGAAATTAATCGCGCGTAAACGGCAAGCGGGTAGGAAGCTAATCGAGAATTCGTGTTCGAAGTAGACCGCGTTCGATACGGAAAACTCGTGCGAGGATATCGAGGTGGGATCGGAAAAGTTACACGCCGTGGCGATAAGACGACACCGTGGGGGCACCACGCGAGCCAATGAGATATCGCGGGAAAATAATCTGCCCATCGGAATTACTTGCAACCGAGCTTTCTGATTCCGAAAGTTTTCTTTTGTCTCGATGGAGGTCGCGAAACGAGATGAAACTCGGCCTGGAAATATTACCGTTTTGCGCCACGGACCCGTTCTACCAAAACCCTTCCCCCCCCCCCCCCCCCTTTTCCGTGCCCCCGAACGGAGAAACGGAAAGTGCGAGTGATTCCCCCGAATCTTCGACCCCCACTCGCTGGCCCGTGATATTTTCCTTTAATCAATGGAAATTGTCGAATAATATTATGCACGGAAGAATAACCGAGACGACGGTCGCCCCGTACAACGGTTCCGAAAGTTTAACGGAGCATAATACTACTCGTTATCCCCACAGATTAATCGCGTCGCGAGGAAGAAGAGGACCCGCGAGTGGAAGTCGAAGCATATCGAGGTTTCCTCGGGAAACGAGCTCTCCTAGTCTCCTGGCGTCTCGTTAGCCAATCCTTCCCTCTAATTTATCCTTTTTTCCTTCGACTTCGGCCCGAGATAATTCGTCCGAGATTGCTTCCGACCATCTCCACTTCTCCCCGCTCCTCCGAGCGATCGGTGTTTGGAGCCGCCGTTAATCCTCTTCGTATTCTCCTCGCCGTCCCATCCGCCGTTGTTCGCCAGCCGGAGTTTCCATCGACGTTGCGAACTCGGCTCACGGGATTATAACTGCTCGCGTAAGTTATTCGTAATCGGCGAATCATCGTGATGGGGTTGGAAGCGTCAGAAACGTGTCAGAAACGTGTCAGAAACGGGCGAGAAACGGGTGAGAAACGGGTGAGAAACGGGCCAAAAACGCGTCACGCGGCGTAAAACGGAAGAATTTGTTTGACACGGCATGGCAAGTTGTAGGCCAGTCCTGTTCAGCCTTCCATGCCTCCGATATCTCGGTTTCGCGATTACTTATACCAACCCAGGTAACCGGCTGCGCCGGATGTTAGGTTCTCGGACGTTTCATTAAGACGAAGCTTTCGCGTCGATTTCCCGCTTTATTTCCCCCGTGATTTCTCGCCGGAGCACGCCAAGGATCGCTGCTCGGGAGCGTCGGCTCCCTCGCATCCCGAAGTTTAAACGTTATTGCAGTTGGAGAACGAGAAACGGACCGTTGTTCCCATCGAACTTGCGACTCGGGGCTGGGGCAGGGCTTAATAGAAGGGACAAGGCAATCATAAACTCGCGGAAACTTTGTATTTCAAAGGTGTCAACAAAGATAGAACTGAGGCTAGCAAGAAACAATTTGTAGCAAAGTCGTTTTAGCGTTGGAACGAGGGACGGGAGTACCTATCTACTGAACGTCGATGTACAACTTAGCCAAGGCGTCTCGCTTGATCTCCCGGCAATCGCCGTTTCCAACTCCGGCGTCGTTCCTTCTACGCGTGATCCTCCGTCGTCGTTTGCTCGGTGGTCTTCTCCGCTTCCGGTTCCTTCTTGATCTTCAGAATGTCCTCCACTTGCGGCGTCACCACCACCGTCTCGCTCTCCTCCGGGAACACGTACTCCTCGTGATTCTGCGACGCGTCGAAGTAATGGCCCAGGCCTTTGTAGTGTCCGTGCTGCTCGAAGGCGGAGTGCTGGTGGGCCTCCTCGTGCTTGTGATTGCTGTCGTGGTGATGATTATGGTGATGGTCGTCGAAGTGTTTGTGATGTTCCTCGTGGGAGTGGCCGTGCTTGTGCTCGTGAGACGCGTGGTGTTTGTGATGCTCATCGTGATGGTGTCCTTCGTGGTGGTCGTGGTGATGCTTGTGATCGTGGCCATGCTTGTGTTCTTCTTTATGCTCGTGGCCGTGCTTGTGCTCCTCGTGATGGTGATGCTTGTGGTCCTGGTGATGGTGATGATGATGGTCCTCGTGGTGGCCGTGGTGATGCTCCTCCTTGTGGCCGTGCTTGTGCTCGTGGCCGTGTTTGTGATGATGATCCTCGTGATGGCTGTGCTTGTGGTCCTCGTGGTGTCCGTGGTGATGCTCCTCCTTGTGGCCGTGCTTGTGTTCGTGGCCGTGTTTGTGATGATGGTCTTGATGGTGGTCGTGTTTGTGCTCGTGTCCGTGTTTGTGATGATGATCCTCGTGGTGGGCGTGGTGATGGTCCTCGTGGTGTCCGTGTTTGTGTTCGTGGCCGTGGTGATGCTTGTGTTCCTGCTTGTGACCGTGTTTATGGTGCTCGTGGTGATCGTGTCCGTGATGATGATGGTGATTCTCGGTCTCCTTATGCGTGTGATGATGGTGATGCTCGTTAACGTGATGATGTTCGTGGTGATGGTGATGCTCGTTGTGATGATGATGCTTGTGGTGATGATGATGCTCGGCGTGGTGCTTGTGTTCCTCGTGATGCTCGTGTTTCGACTGATGATGATGTCCATGGTGGTGATGGTGTTCCCCGTGGTGCTTGTGATCGTGGCCGTGTTTGTGGTCGTGTTTGTGACCGTGTTCGTGCTTATGCTCGTGTCCGTGGTGATGCTTGTGGTCGGAGTGATGCTTGTGACCGTGGTGATGATCGTGTCCGTGATGATGATGATGATCGTCTTTATGCTTGTGTTCCTCGTGGTGCTTGTGCTCGGCGTGATGCTCGTGGCCGTGTTTGTGCTCGTGTTCGCTGTGATGCTTGTGACCGTGTTCGTGTTTGTGCTTGGCGTGATGGTCGTGATGCGCGTGATGTCCGTGATGATGTCCGTGACTGTGATAGAAGGAGTGGCCGCCGAATCCGTGACTCCTTCGTTGAGGAGCGATCTGCGGCGCCAAGAAACCGATATGAGAGGGCGATGACGATATTCTCGGCTCTATCGCGTGTTTCTCTACCGGATCATTGACTCGTGAAACGATGCTGGTCTTGGTGTCTGGGTCGAAAGTGGCTCGATGTAGCGGCGAGTGCGCCTGGCCTGTTAGGGGCAACGTTAGCGGTTGGAAATTGGCTCCAAGGTCGGCTAATTGCCGTTTTCGTGGATGTCGTTCAGCGGTGGCTGGTTGCTGGCTGGTAGAATCTAGCAGTAACGGTAGAGGTGGCTGCACTTGTCGCGGCAGCCTGACGGAATCGGGCAATTCCGGGCTGGCCGTTGATGGTCGTGGTTCACTCTCTTGCGATGCTTTTAAATTTCGGCCAGCCGTCGCTGTCACCAGCAAAGCAACGGCTAGAAGCCACGCCTAGGGGCAGAGCAAAATCGAGAAGTGAAAAAAGGGAAGGAGCCTAAATGACACAGTTATCTGGGGGAATTCCGCCTACGTTCCCTCGATCTATCTACTCGAGACACCCGGTACGAGATTCGCGGCCGCAGGTCGCGCACGGACGGGGTAACCGACTATGCGGGGGTGATCGGTAATTTTCGAAAATCGTTTAGCCACGAGCGAATTCGTTTTGATAGGCAGAGCACGGTACTAGCGCGCACCGGACATTAGCTCGGCTAACCGAAACGATAAAACAACGTCGAATTTGGCCGGGGCCATTTTGGTTGGCAGCGGCGCACGCTGCCTCGCCGCGCACGTGCGAAACGAGCACGTCCAAGCGGAAAAACCGGAGATAATATCCAGTAAATCGTCGGCGGCTCGTTTTATCGCGATTTGCCGCTTCTTGTCGCGGAATTTCTCCGCGCGGCCTCCGCCTAGAGCAAGCGGGAGCGCGAGATATATCGAATAGAGAGGAAAGCGACGTGGAAGAGGGCGGTAAAAGGCGAGGATCGAGATGGTAGCGGGGGTTCGAAATCGAATCTCGGTTTTGCGGCGCGGAATTAGCGAGGTCAGCTGTCTCGGAAGGATCAGAGGGCGTCGGCGCGTTTTTCGCGCGGCGATCGAGCGGATCTCGTCGGGGTGGCGATCGCTCCTTTGGTCTCGGTGATTTATGCGATCCGGGGGTGCGTCCGCTAAAAAATCGTCCCGTTGCGCGTTCGGCTTTATTTCTCGACGCGTGACCGGGGTCGTCGCGATGAGGAGGAATACGTCGGCCGACGCGAGGTCCGATCAGGAATTTTATTTCCAGCGATACCGACGAATTCCCGAAACCCGAACGATACGTTCCCTTCCACGATCCGAGAATTAGTTGTCGATGATAAAATCGAGCTTTACAGTTGACGCGCGTAGTTTTGAACCGAGGACGATCGATGGGTCGACTCGTCACCGCGATGCGACGATAAGTTCCTCTGCGAGATAACTGCGGTGCAGCGACGTCGAGGTGTTGGACCCGTTTTAATCTCTCCACGCGCCTGCAAACACCCCGGTACCTCGATGTTCGCGGGACCTCGGCTATATTCTTCTCGAAATGCGAACGCCCGCTCGCTGATTAACTCGGGAATTTAATCAGCGGCGATAGAATTTAAACGATAAGATTAGCGAGCTTTCGCGAAGGGGACGAATAAGAGGCGTATCGTGTCCTGGCTTCGCCGGCTTTCGGATATCGCGTTCATCAACGATGGGAACCGTTCTCTCGTTAAGCGTCGGGGAATTACAGCGATGAACTTACCTTCATCGCCATGTCGCCGTTATTTCGGGTGTACAGCCCTAGTGCAACTGGATACCGTGGTCCTACGACAACGTACTTTTATAGAGAGCAATTCGCGATCGGTACTTTCTTCCGTGCTAAGCACCAGTGTCGTTTACGACTGGGCCTAACATTTTAATTGTCGTCATAATACGCGGCGGACCGCGACCGGGCCTCAACGCTCCCGGCCTATTACCCACCCGTCGAATTTCATTTATAACCGTTCGATGGTCCGTATACACGCTGTTTCCGGTGCAGTAAAAATCGAGGAAGCGGCGATCGCGCTCGCCCCGATGAGTCGAAATTGATGGATAGAAAAAGCCCGATCGATATCGCGCCGTACGATCGTCGAACGTTTTACAAGCAATCGAAATTACGCAGAGAACCCGACGCTAACGCCGCGCGCCGTCGTAATTTCCTCTTTTAAATTCAGATTTATTGCCTCGTATAATGGCGCGTCGAAACGACGATATACGGGGTGCTTTCGAAATAGCTGCCCAAACTTTCCCACCGTCTTCTAATCTCGCTAATCCCGCGCACGAAAAAACACCTCGAGGAAACTTGGCTCCTTTTCCAACTTTTTCCTTCTATTTTTCCCAAGGTAAATGTTTTCCGATCGCGAGACGGTATCTCAGACACGGTTGTAACTCCGACAAGCTGCCGTATCGTTACCGATCCCCTTTCCACTGAGATACGCGTTTCGTATCGACGTTTCGAAGATATGTACTTTTAATTGTCTCGTTCGAAACGATAATACGAATTTTTCGCATTGTCGCGTTATTACCAGCGCTGTCCTCGCGAACCGAGCTTCCCGAACGTCCCCGTAAACAAAAATCGAAAGGAGTTAAGCCACGGGTACGCTCAGACCTCGCGAATTACACGTAATTGGCCTCCTTCTGCCGATCCAATGTTCCTGGTAATTGTTATTTAGATATTCTCGAGTGCCTCGATTAAAATGGACCGCGACTCATCCGGCGTAATTCACCCTCGAGTACGTATTGTCGGCGGTATGTCCTGCGACAGTGTAAAAAATTAATCTCTTAAAAATTACGCGTAATTCCCATGGTCGTGCGCGGATCGGAGAAAAATTGCTCCAATAACGGAATCCCCGATAATTTCAACCCTTGCGCGAAAACTGTAAACAACATTCGCTGCTCAGGTAGATTTATTAATAACGTATGTATTTTCATACGTTCGCCGATGTTAATTACAAGAATTTACGCGGAAATTTTACCCTGGCCGCGATGAAAAGCACGGATACGTGAAATTTGATATTTTAATGCAGTCGTAGACACCACTGACGAAAGATTACCGGCGGATGATCATTCGCTGACGCAGGTCGTCGCGTTCGTTTTATGCGATTTCGCGCATTTTCTCCTATAATTCCGTGTACAGTCGCGTTGGAAATATTTCTCGTTTATAATCGTGTATATATGTATTGGTCTCGCGTCGGGTCCCGAATTTCCTTCGACGAGTCTAAACGTTTGAGGTATATACGTATCTGCTGATCGATTCCGAGTGTCCGACCATGTCTGTTTCGTGCTGGGTTAACTATAGCGGGTGAAAAAGGTTGCAGGATCGAACGATGCATCGAATGGAACGTATTCTTCGCGGAATATCGTCTTCGCAGGAAGCTTTCTTCATATAGACATTGAGCTTCTCTGCAGTTTCCGTCAGCTCGCTCATAGGCGAAGCGAATATCTCGATATTGGAGTAAGCCAGCCCGATAACCCTGTCTTAGCCATCAAACATTTAGATAGAAGCCGATTTAGTACGACATAAGCTATCTCCGGCAATAGGATGACTCGCCCTACCGCGATATTCGCTGATGACAGGGTGTTGACAGTTATTGCAATTTTACGCGTAATATCTATTGAGAAATCAAATATTCAGCTATAATCCTTCGTTCGATGTCGATCGATATTAACCCTTTGCAGTCGATATTAACCCTTTGGCTCTTCAATCGCCATTTGATAAAATTTCGAAGCTCGATGTTAATTAATATATCAAATTTAAAATAACGTAACTGTGTGGGTGGTATCGAAATACGTGTTAATTATTCTACGTATTAATTATTATACGATTTCGTATTTACTGCTCGAAAAATATCATCAACCTTATAGCAGAAAATTTTTCAACTCGTACCCTGTTCCAGCCAAAAAATCGTCCAGTGCAAAGGGTTAATGGATGAGATTACGCGTGTGCGCAACGATAAATGTTACCCTGTCAAATCTCGAGGCGAAGGACGAACATTTATACGTTAAATTGATTACTTCCAGTGATCAGATAATTCTAGCAGCAACGAATTATCTCGCTTCGACACGTTTCCACACACGCGAGGTTTTCTCATAGTCATCCACACGTTCGCGAGCCTCTCGATCTTCATACCGATCTCCGATTTATACCTCGAAAATAGAAGTAGAGTAAAGTACGATAAGAAAATTCAGAAATAGTCTGTTTCTCCTCTCTTTCTGTCGTTTATCTTTATAGTCTTCGTGAGTGTGGATGTTAATACTGTTTTATTTGTGTGCCTCGTATGCTTTCTCCGCGAATTAAATATGGAGACGTTCATTTTGAAACGATAAATGTTGTTCTGTCAAATCTCGAGGCGAAGGAAAAGCATTTATACGTAAAATTGATTACTTCCGGTGATCAGATAATTCTAGCAGCAACGAATTATCTCGCTTCGATACGTTTCCGCAGACACGAGATTTTCTCATAGTCATCCACGCATTCGCGAGCCTCACGATCTCCGATTTATAAAAATCGGAGATAATACTGTAGGATGCCAAAAGAAATCGCGAATCGGTTATTATGAACAAAAACAAATTGTAAACCGATCGATATCTTCTAGAAGCAAATGGAAAAGTTATTTTATATAACAAAATTAAGTTGCGTGGCACCCCTACGCGGAGTCGAAGCGTAGGTTAAGGAAAGCATAAAAGCGTGGTCCTTGACAACCAAAACAGAGTGCTTAGAAATCGTTTGAGACCAGCACAAGCGTGAGTCGTTTGGTGTTGGAAAGAGAGTTTTAAAAGAATGCGTCTTTGTGTGTTCTCGTTTCGTTATCTCGGTGTTCTTTTCCTAAGTTAAATCAGTTCACGAGTTTCGGGTTTGCGTTATCGTGTTCCTGTTCTTTCGACAATTTTCGCTGTCTCGAGACCGGTATTCGCCATCCTACAGTACCGATCTACGATTTATAAAAATCGAAAATGGGAGAGTGATCGCCTATTTTGGACGTAGCCTGTATAACAGATTTCCGATCTTTTTCACTTTTCCCTCTGCTCCGGTCAATGGAGCATCGCCGAACACGGCTATGCCTGGTCGAGTAAAAATTACGATTCGAAAAGTAAAAGCGAGGTGGAACAGGCGCGTTTGAAATCGATCGGAAGTAATCTCGCGTTGTTTTCGCTTTCGCGCCTATTTTCCAGCGTCGCCGGTATCGCGCAAACACGCGCGTCCGCGATCGTTTAATGCGTGGCCGTGCACCCGACCAGAAACGGAGCAAACGACGCGTGTACCGAATTTAATTTATATATCTCATTATTTAATAGGATAAATGGGGCGGCTCCTCTGCCTTGCTGCTTCCGCCGTTCCATGAATATTTAACGAGCCGTTTCGCCAGCTCCATTCCTTTTCGTTCGCCCGCGCGCCCATCGAAACCCGCTTGTTTGCCCGGTCCGCGAAATCGCCCGATTAATTCTCGCGATCGCGATCCCGCAAATATTTGTCGATCGGTGTAAGGGACACGATCAGTGGACCCAGTCGTGGTATAATCGCTGAGAAACTTGGTAAAAGTTTCCACGTCGTTAATATCGTTAGAGGATCGATCGAATTTTCGCTTTCACTCGATGGTCGATGATTCATTCGATGACTTTTGATTGACATTTTGACACCGGTAATTGCGACTGAGTACTTTGCTTATTTGTCAAGTAGGAGCAGATCTTTGGGTCACGAATGATGTAATTTGCAGAGTGAACTATAACCATGCAACGATGGCGTCAGACGTTCTAGACGTTGTAGGTTAGTAGTAATTTTTGGGCCTCAAGGACCTTCGTTATTATGGCCCCATGGTCCCCACCCCCATGGAGAGATCGTCTGTCGAGTTTAGGTTTAGGAAGGCATCCTATTTTCTGGAATAGTTCAGTTCAAAACTCGAAGCAATATAGAGCACATAAGTAGTCGCAAACCCTATGGACATCTACGTTCTTTGTTTGTATTTCCATAGATTGTACATTTCACTAATAATAAGCTTTATATATTGTTTACTATATAATCGGGTGTTTGAGTATATACGGTTAGTTGCGAATTATAGTAAACTCCCTGTAATTTCAATCCGACAAATAACAACACGATTAAATTCATGCAATAGGTATGCAAAACGAGAAACAGGCAAGCATAAATTATTACAGAAACAACAAACAGTTAATAGGATAACTTTACGAACCCTCAATGTGGTTGATATGAAATAAGTTAATTTGAAGAAAAAAGAAAAAATTCCTGGAATTTTGTTTCTGTATCGATGAGCTTCAAAAAAGCTTCGTGACCACGAGTTATATGTTTGTAGAGAGAAGCCTTCGAGTTTCAGGAATTTTTGTGAAATGTGGTGGTTGTGTGAGACCCGATTCGCGAAATATCGTGATACGTGGGACTCGATTCGCGAAATATCGTGATGCGTGAGTTTCCATTCGCAAAATATCGTGGTGCGTAAAACTTGATTCGCAAAATATCTTGATGCCTAAGATTTGATTCGCAAAATATCGTGAAGCGTAAGACTCGATTCGCAAAATATCGTGATGCCTAAGACTTGATTCGCAAAATATCGTGAAGCGTAAGACTCGATTCGCAAAATATCGTGATGCCTAAGACTTGATTCGCAAAATATCGTGATGCCTAAGACTTGATTCGCAAAGTATCGTGACGCGTGAGTTTCCATTCGCAATATATCGTATTGCGTAAAACTCGATTCGCGAAATATCGTGATGCACGTGACT